TTCAAGAAGAAATTTTTACTCCTGAACTTTGGCACTGTTCTTAAAAGGGCTGTAGTCACCTTTTTCAATTGTATTTTTCAATTAAACTTTGATTCAAGCACGTAAGTCACCTGTCACTACAGAAGCAAGACCTGAAAAATCAGGATTTTTGTAAGTGTTCTTTCTATTTAATTCTACATGGCAACACTTCTTCTGGAGTGATACTCTTAGTCTTAAACATTCAAGAATATTAGTTTCATGCAACAGTGTAAAGTTTATTTCATTATAAAAGAGAAAACAGGCAATATCCAACACCACTGCAAGCTAAACAAAAATAGTAAATAAATTAATGGAAAATGTAACTTTCTAACTGAAGTTGGAATCAGATATGCAACATCTAACCTAACAGGAAACACTAACATCAGAGAGATAGTAAAGTACACTATCATCTCAGAAGTCAGAAACTGAATTAAATGTAATTAATAGTCAATTTTTATTTGTAATGAAATCATCAGAAAAGGCACCATAAAGAAAAACTAGAAACATACACCTTTCCCTAGTGTATTAGAATCCCCTGGATGACACATGGCTGCAGAATACACAAGATCTACAGAAACATTCCAAGTCCATCCAGTATGTAATTTGGTAAGAAAAAATATTTGCCTTATTACTGTTGTAGCTACATAGTTCTCTTTTTGACATTTACAGTACATAACTACACGTTTAGGGTGCAATCCTCCATTCCTGTCATACTTAGAACTCCCACTGAAATCCACGGGAGTTTGGGGTGCATAGAAAATACAGTATCAGGCCATTAATAACATGCTTACTACTTATTATCACTGAAATCTCACTACAAGGCTAGGTTTTATAACCTGAGACACCCGCTTGTGACCCCATTTTTTGATTTTCTGATTTGCCAGGTATTGTTAATTTACTTATAGCAAACCTTTTAAAAGGAATATTAGAAAAAAAAGAAAGCATCTTACTGTTCAAAAGGACAAAGTAAACTAGCTATTACCATCTCATCTGACAACTGGAAGATTTTAACATTCAGAGTAATATTTCTCTTCTACAGCTAAAGCAACAAATTTCTAATCCTTCAATAATTCCATTGTAAAATGTAGACACACGTATTTTTCCACCTATTTTAATTATGTTTTATATATGATGATCTGTATATTAGTGCCTCTCAGTTGTAAAGTAACTACAGCATGTAAACAAATGTAAAATAGACTGAGGCCCTGATCCTACTCCCCAGTGAAGTCTATTGGAGGTGGGGTCTCAACTTCAATGAGCGCAGCCTTAGGCTCTCAATCAAATTTGGGCTCAGAGAAGAACTGTATGCCCTTAGTCAAAGCTACACACAAAAGAAAATGTAAATAAAGTAAAGGAAAGAAATGTTATAGAATGTTTGAAAAGTTTATAGATCTCCGAAGAGCATGAGTTGCCAAACTGAGATGCTAAAAAAATGGTAATGGGAGTTTAGGCTGTGTCTGGAATGCAGGATTGGGCCCTACATGTTTACACTGAACAATGATAAATTTTCGCTGCTGGTGCTGGGAAATGCAACTTGAACTGCAGCTGGGACTGAAGGGGTTTTTTGGTTTGTTTTTGTTTTTTTTTAACTAATCTGGTGCAGCCAGGGCATGGCTGTAATTACCTTCTTCCCATCTATAGCTAATACCTCAAACAATAAAAAAATATAGGGGTGTTAAAAATTCAAACGCTAATTATGGGCTGTTATATTTACTAAACATAGCAGAGTAATAACAAAAGTTGCAGCTTCTCAGTAGCTAGCAATGCACGATTTGATTTACGAAGTCCTTGGCCCTCTTACACTGACTGTATTACATAATAGTTAATAGTGCACTAAAATAAAATTCAATATATGCGTTTATCACTAAACTGATCTGGCACAACTGCATAAGGCTCCCTGCTTTTCCAGCATAGGTATTTTTTTTTCAGAAATCAATACTTTTCAACTCCCCTCCCCAAAATTAAGTTATGCAAGTATAGCAGCAGAAGGAGTCTAGAAAAGAAATATGCAGTATTTGAATACCCCATGTTCAGAAGTCATACTATAAATATTGGCTAATCTTGTATTTCTTTCAGTTACTTTCCTTTACCTCTGTATTCAAATCTTAAAGTCAACAGGAATAATATTGAGACCTATGTTAGTACCTAATATACTGCTACCACCGCCACTGCTGTCACCACCCCCCCACATACATATAAAACACACACATACAATGTAGCTTGATACCACTTAATAAGAATAGAGGTGTATGGATTTTGGGGGTGTCAAACAGCTGTCACAAACTGTCACCTCCACAAGAGAAACCTTGGCACACAACAAATTAAACTACACTTCTTTTTAGCTGTCATTATTCATAGCCAATCAGTTGAAATGCACCTAGTATTTCATGTGCAAATAATACCATGAAGAAGATCCATGGATCAGAATAGTGGGCCAACAGATAAAAAAGAGGAAACAACATGCTGTCTCTGTCCTTCTGAAGTGGCTCATCATCACCCCTGCACCAACTTTCACCAAATGAGATCTAGCCTGGGGCTATGTATTAAATATGCATATCAAAGAAAATGAAAAAATAAACCTGGAGAGTCAAATTGGACAAATTTGCATGCTTGAACTATTCCATTTCTCAGGTAGATGCTCACAAATGATAGTTCAATTTTTTCCTTGCATCTGTATACTAGCAATTAGAAAAGGTTTTCCTTCTTTATAAATAAAAGTGAATTGCTCCTTATATACAGTGTGAATATAAATGCACAGGCACACATGCACACGCATGCACGCACACATGTGTACGCACACATACACACACATATATATATAGATTGGACAAAGCTACTGAAAAGTGCAAAAGTTTTGTTGGTAAAACAAGCTAACATAAAAAAAATCCAATAAGGAGACACATTTCCCAAAACGCATGAATAAAATGTAACTATGTGATACAACTCTTCATTTCCCAGTTGGTGTTCTGGTTGCACAAATTATTGCTTCCTTTCAAAACAAATAGCAGGGGGCTAAAGTAAAAATGTTATAGCTCAAATCTCCAGGAAATAAAAGGCTTTAAATTATAATACCCAATGAAGTGGTAAACCCTAACGGGTGCAAGATAAATGGGTTGTCATATTTACTTGAGTTTGTTTTTTGAGTTACAAAGGCAAGAGAAGATTCTTTTTAGTGAAGATAATAGTTATCAAATTATCAAAATGCTAACCCCCTCCAACCTTGTCCTATCATTGTGTGTGAATTTAAATATTATAATGGAGCACTGCAAATTGGCTTGAGCATTCGCCATCTGCCAGAACCCTAAACAGGCTAGTTTATCTAATCTCCTCAATATAAACATAAGCATGCTCCATTTCTACACTTCTACTTGAAACACACTCTTGTAAAGAAACTGTGCTGGAAAAAAGGTATAGGTTTTATAATTATAATTATAATAATTATTATTATTATTTTCAGAATTATATACAATGAGCCTATATCTTTCAGGTTGCCATTCATTTAAATTGCTTTACTTGTAATGCACGTACACATGAATTTAGGGTTAGAAAATGCCATAAAACAAATATTTTTAAATCAGTCTCATGCCTCATAGAGTTTATTATCTACAGATGAGGTAACTGATAGAAGAGAAACTTTCAGTAACTGATGCATACATTATCACTTAAAAATGGTAAATCCAAAATGTAAAATATCACAAAAATCTTGCCCTGCAATGTTTACCAAATGCAAGTGAAGAAATGAAAGCTAAAGCCCTGAATAGAAAAACTGCTATCAGTGTCCTAGAATTTAGCCCCTCCAGGTTGAAGATTTTTTTTAAATATATATATTATAATTTTATCACTTATAACCTGCTCCAGTTCAGCTCAAATGTAATTATTAAATGCCCAGACATATTTTCAAAGAGCAAATGCTCATAGAAAGCTGCTTCTCCCTGGATTTCAATCTACCCCTCTGAACACACAAGGAAATAAAGCTAAGCGCCTGTGCAAAGCATAGTTAACTACACACTGGGTGTTAAATTAATATTTCAGCCGCTAAAATATTAGACTGTATCATTTAGATTATGAGTTCAATGGAATCTAAACCTGTGTAAACCCTTTTCTCCCCAGGGATGCGTTCCTATAAATAAACTATAGTGCACACCCACTCTTTTTAACGATAGCAATTCGTTCCCTTTTCTGTGCTATCAGTTGCAATCTTTTCCTTCACGTTTGTAAGTTTCTTTGCATATACATATTTTAAAAGACCCTGCTCCAGAGCAGTCTGCAAACCCCCAGAAAAACAAAAGACTGTCTTCTTAACATCCACTCCAACGTTTAGTCCTACACATATCACAGTAATTCACCGACTACTAAAGCATTAAAATCAACCGCTAACCTATGGTTGCTCAATCATAATTCTCTCCAGCTTTCTGTAATACATTGTTAATAATTGGTTCATCAAGGTTACTGTCTTTTATTATAAAGATGCTTCAGGCACTTGGCAATAAGTCTATATTCTGCAAATAAGTTGTTCTAAAGCAAAAGCATAGGAAACTTGAATGTGCTAACCCTTTTCTTAATGCAATATAAAATTGCTAGTAATGCTCAGCACTTGTCATCTGCATAAAGGAGTTAGGGGGGAAATCACAAACTTTCTCCCTAACTTTCTTGCCTTTAGTTTCTTACATTGCTGCACAGATTACAGGGTTGGCAAAGCAGGAAAAAACCACCGATCACCAGATCAAACAGACAATCTGCCAGCGTTTCAAGTAGCCCAGGTCAGGAAACTTTGTAAATCAGTGAAACTCCCTATACTACAGATAGGAAGAAACAAAACAAAAACCTACCCTCCCCAGACCAAGTAAGTGAAGAACTTTAAAATCGTCAGCAAATAGGGGGAGGGGAAAGGACGTCCAACAGGTTTAAAAGGGAGCCGGGGAGGTGGGGGAGAGACTCCTAAGCAGGTTAAAAAAAACTATCAAGGCATCTAGAGGACTTACATGGTCGGCTAAATTTGTGGAAGATCCTGAGAGCTCTTCGTGGTCAGACTTGGAGCTGCCATCCCTTTCGTCAATAACTAGATCTATTGGCATTTTTCCTTTCAAACAACTAATGTACCGATGGCAGAAGTTGTCGCACAACTCGTGGACCTGCAAATAAGAATAACATATTAAAAAGCAAGGCAGAATATCGGATTGCAACTCTTTTTTTTCCTTTTCTTTTTCTTTTGGTAGCAAGAGAAATACTGTGATCTATTCCACGAGTTACTCTAATTAAGGGGCACAATAGTTGAAGGCAAGGAAACAATAGAGAAATTGTTGCCGCACATATTATTCTCCAGAGACTTGCCGCAGCAACAAGTTAGAGAGAGAGGGAGAGAGGGAGAGAGATAGTGGGCTCAGTAGAGGAAAATCCGATCTGATGATAACATCAAAACATTGGAAACTGGACCTACGCTCTGGAGCATACACTGTTCAGGCAGGTACAGCTAGGAACCAGCGATGGGACCTGTTTGAGCTGTATGTATTTTGAATGAATTGGCTTCTGCCCTGCAAAGAACCTCTACTCATCCCAGGGTACAGCTACCCCCATAGGAAGCACAACCTCCTGCTAACTCAGAGCACTTCATGCTTGGCTGTGGTTAATGTGACCATCAGATCTGGATTAATGCAAAGGGATTTAGGTTATTTTTTAAAAAATAATATTTCTGACTCAGGGAAATCGCCTATATTTAGGGCAGGCTATAAAGGGGGTTCGAGTGGCATATTTAAAAAAACCCCAAAAAATCTTGACCTGGTTAAAATTGCACTGGGGTGGGTTGAGCGTGTCTGTCTGGTGTCACATGCTGTGATGCTCTGATGGCGCAGGTTAGAGTGTCACACTGCGCTTCCCCTGTATTTTTGGCAATGTTTACAAGGAATTGAAACAATCCCGGGGGGAGGGGGGGTTCAGGAGGGAGGAAGGCAGCACGGCCCCCGGACCCGCGGCTCTTACCTTTTCTAGCTCCAAAAGATGAAACCGTAGGACTTGTATTGCTTGGATCATCTGCAAGAAAGTTTGGAGCGAGGAGTTATTTGGGAGGCGGCGGCCCCGGGGTCTGGGCAGCGCTGCGCGACCAAACGGGCAGCGCGAGGGGGATTGTCAGGGCGCGCACTCATTATCCGGGATTTGAGCTCATTGGTCACGCCTCAGCAGTTTTGATCAAGTTTAACTTAAGCACTTGATTTTTATCATATTTATTTTAGGAGCGGTGATTAGTGTTTTACTGCGAGCCGGAGGCCCCCTCCCGCCTGCTTCCCGCCCCCTCTCCCCTCCAGCCCTCATTTCGGAGGGGCTGCAGTGCAGGCAAGCGCACACACTCACCCCCACCGCCCTGAAAAGAAAGAAAACCGAGGGTGGGGGGTGCTGGAGATGAATAGTTTGGCATCTTCTTTACAAGCGGATTTAGGCACTTTTAATATTGAAATCATCCCCATTAGCAAAAGAATTACAGTAGCACTCTCCAGTTCCCTCCTCTTAAGCAGTTATTTCCTTCACTTCAGCTTCCCGTGGCTTTCAACCCAGTTTTGCAATGCACCGGCACTTCAGAGTTTGCCCCGGCTCACTTCAGAAGTGAAGGCTCTTTGAAGCAGTTTTCAATCGGTCTGGCACCCCCCCCCTTCTCCCCTCCCCGATCCCCAAGCCTGCAGGTCTGAGCCCGGCTCCCAGCCTCCCCACTCACTCACAACGATGCCTTCATGTTTGAGAGAGGTGCTTGTTATTAATATCACAACTACAGCGCTGGGGGTGGGGGAGGGCAAAGGGTAAGGCCTTACCAAATTGTCCAACTCGGGGTTTGAAGAAAAAAGTGGCTTTTCAGCGCGGACCTACAAGGAGAAGGAAAAGCAGCGTAAATTACAGCTCCCTTTCAAAGCCCTGGGACTGAATCACTTGGAGGGAAAGCATGTGCCAAACTCGCGAGCTGAAACACGGACAGGTCACGCTAAAATGCTGCTGCGGTGCCTGCCCGAGCTGCAAGAGCCCCGGGCACCCGGCGCTGCCCCTCTCCCGCCTGATCTCTTATTTCGGGGGGTTTCCAAACTCCGCCGCACTTCACTTCCCCCTCCACCCAGGAGGGAGGGCGAGGGTTACGGGCAGGAGGGGGAGGCCGAGGGCTGGCTGCCTGGTTTGGAGGGACTCCCTGAGAAGGCCAGTGGGAAGCAGTGGCAGAGCACATTTCCCAGCCCGGCCCTTGACTTGAGTCCAAAGGGGGGAGCGTGTTGGGGTGGTCCCCCATCTCTGGACGTGCGGTGCTAGGTGCGGGGGCGTGTGCGAGGAGCCGGGGGGCAGGGGTGTTCAAAAATGTCTTGGACCTGTTTGGCGAACACGGCGATGTCCTCGTTGAAGGAGTCCGAGGAGCAGACATCCCCGCCGGCCACACCAGGCTCCCGGGGAGTGCAGGTCGCCAGCTCGCACTTCTCAAAGACCAGAGCTAACAGGGGGAACAACGGGTGCCTA